TTAAAAAATATATAATAATATTTTTAAAATATATTTTATTAATAAATTTTGTCATAAATCTAGCTAATATTCATAATTGTGTTTGAACTAAGACACAATAAATGTGTTTTAATTTAAATAAAATTATTTAAAATTCATAAAAATTATCAATAATTTTTTTATTTTTGATTTTTTTTGTGATGTGCCAAGTTGAGGGTTCTTGCAGCTGGGGGGACCTTTGGTGATAGGTCCAAAGGGGCCTATCACCAAAGGTCCCAATTGAGGGTTTGAAAACCCTCAGCTGGGACAGCTAGCATCACTTAAAAAAATTTCAAAAAAATAAAATTAATATTATTAAAAAAATTAAATAAATTATAAATTATTTTTTTGAGGATTAAGACATATAAAATAACACAATTATCAAATAATTAATATAACTTATTAAATATTCTTACTTCAATTAGTTTTTATTTTAAAATTTAATATAAATAGGAAATTTATTTATTAATTATTTAATTTTAATATTAATATGACATATTAAATAATATTAATTTATTATGTCTTGTTTGAGACATAATTTATATATCTTAAATATTACTAAATTAGTAGGAAATAATAAATAATATAATTAATAATTTTATTTTTTGGCCAACAATTAATAATTAATAATTTTATTTAAAATATGTTGAATTAGACACATCTATGGGGACAGTGTTTTCTAAGGACTGTTATCGCAAATGATACATTTTGTATCTTACTTATAAAAGAGCCACTAAGTCTTCTACTACCACAATTTTTTTAAGGATTGTGACAAAAAATATGTCGTTCAAATTTAATTTTGCACTAGTAAATATTCAAAATACAATAATAAGCACACACCACTATAACATCATTCTGTTTTAAATTTGATCACTATGAACTAACAACTAGCCACTTTAATTCTAAATCAAATTGCATAAAAAAACATTTCTATATAATTCACATTAAAGACATAAACCGTCTCTTTGATAGCCATGTTCATAGCCTATATGGATTTAAAAAAAAAAAAACTCAAAATTCTCAGCTAGCCCACAAACTATCATTCAAGACTCCATAATATACTCATGTGCCATTGCTAAACATTTGTCAACTAGCTTGATAAAATTTTGAGTGGCAATTATCTCAAAAATGTAAAAGCAAATTTCAGACTTAGCCAGAGGGAGGCAGACACTAACCCCAAGGTGGTTGACGAAGCTGCTGTTTGGGGTTTTCACATGTCTAGTTCAAGTTCTTGCACCATTATATCATCCTTTTTAATGCTCCCAAGTTTATGGCTTGCCCCATTTTTTTTTTTAAAAAAAACTGTACATGTACCTGCAGAAGAAGATCAAGTCCCATGGATGATTCATCGATTATAACACCATCAGTGTTCATGTTAGGACTTTTCACCCCAAAATGTGAGCTTTTGAGGTTTTAACCAAGTCTGAATTTTGGAATAAATTTGGCATTGTTGGTGTCCATATTTTCACTTGTTGCTCATTTTAGAATATACTTTGCATATCACATGCATCTCAACACTCAATTTGTTTATAAACATCATTGGGAACTCATTGCCTCATCACCAAACCTCCATTGGGTCCAAACCCATCAGGCTTAGTATATCCAAATAAGATTAACTTGTCGAAGATAGCTCTTAAAATTACTGGCACCAACAGGTAAACATATAGTCTAAATCGTGCTCAAAAATATTGTCTTTAAGATCTATTCCACCCTATTGGATTAATCGCACAACAGCTTCTCAAGATCAAACAAACTATTCCTATTAAAAGTAGGAACACGGGACAATAGAAATTCACAGAATATACTCAGACAACTCAACAATGAATCAATATGATAGAAGATGAGAGAAAGTTTGAGAGTATCAAAATTCTCTTTAAACCTGTGGCAAACACTGCCTTTTATAGGCAGATATCATAATGCAAAGCAATAAAATCACCTTAAATTACAATTAAAAAATAGTTTTAAATAATAATGCCATTTAAATTATATGTTGCAAATGATAATTAGAATTAAATAAAAATTAGTATTATTAATTTATAACAATCCTTTTGAAATATTTAAAAAATATTTTATAATACTTAACAAAAATCGTGTGAATAGCATGGCCGAACTCGGACTGAGAGAGAAGCTGTGCGATGGCGTGCAACGAGCTAAACTGAGATGAAGATGTGCGATGATTCTGTGTGACGAGCTGAACTCCATGAACTGAGAGGAGATGAATGATCTTGAGCAACGAACCCGTGCGACCAAGAGGAGAGATGGAGATGAGCGATCTGTGCGACTGAACTGGAGGCGAGAAGAGCATGAGCGTGTGTGTGCTCGGTGGAGATGAACAAATTTCTTGAGTGGCCGAGCTGGACTGAAAGAGAAGCTGGGTGTTTCTTCACGTGAGGTAGTCTGAAAAATCAGCTTCTCCTTCCGTCAATGGCTGAATTCTCCTCGTTTTTGTTCTTCATTTCTTTTCTTTTCTTTTCCACCCGCGTTCTGTTCTTTCGTGTTTCAAAAATCTGATTTAAAATAAAATGAGCAAATTATCAAATTGGCCCTCAAATTTCTTAAAAAATGGTCATGATCCTAATTTTTTTTTTGGCCAAGATCCTAATTTAAATCCTCAGTTAACCAAAAGTTCTCATAATTAATTCCTAAATTAAAAATTGGGATGTTAAAAAAAAAAAAAACCTTTCCTCTAGCCCACGCCGCAGAGAGAGGTATAATGAATCATAGCACAGCGGCCAAAAGCACTCACGAAACAGAGCAACCAAAACCCCCCACACAAGGGAAGCTGAGTGTTAAAGTAACATATCACTAGCCGCATCAACAAAATTTGATGGGTGAAAAGACAACAGTTTAAGAGCAAGGATTAAATAAATAATTTAACCATGAATGAGTTACAAAATGTTATATTTCATTAGTTGTATATAAAAATCTGAATAAAATATATGAAATATAATAATCAAGATTTTTTTAACAAATCAGGAAAAAAAAATTAACACGTGCCACATGCTTCGCTAATATATTTCCGAGAGAAATATTAATCAAATTATACAGACACTGATGCATCAATAAGTTATAAGTTTAAATAATATTTATATTATGAAAAGAAACCTCAGAATATTCACCTGGAAAAATAGGTTTCCCCATGACTTGAATCCCTCCGAAACAATGATAAAATAACCCTGGGCCTATTGAAATTTGAGTCTTGTGTAAAAGAATCTTAATATCAACAAAAGACGCACGCAAAGAAATTAGTGTTGCGTAGTTACTGAACTCAGGGCTAATGGGGGTGAATCATTATTGTGTGGTAAGGAAGTTGCAAAGCAGCAAGCTAGTTACTTTTATTTGTTTCTCCCGGGCGGACCAAAGCAGGCGGCTAGTAGAAGCATTGAAAGTAGAAAAGAATTGCTAGGCCCGTGTGAGGGCTCAAAAAGCCGGTGGCCATGACAAGTACCAATAAAAAGTCCACCGGGTGGGTGCCTCGAGCCTCATTTATTTGTCTTCCCATATTTTTTGAGACTTCTGACTCTCTCTCTCTCTCTCCTCTCTCATCTTCAAACCCTACCCACCTTGGGAACACGGCCCTGGACGCTGGAGAGACCACCTCACCGCCCTAGCCATGCATGCAGGCTGTCCTTTAATTATACTCACTTAGCTTCTTACCCGTTAAGTTGGTCAAAAAAAAAAAAAATGCTTCTCACCCGCTACGAAGTACATTGAGATATTCTTTTCGGCTTGCTATGGTATTTATTATTTAACCATGCTTGACTTCAATCAGAAATCACATGATGGCGGCGCTACCCAACACTGGGTGCGTGTGCGTGGCTTTATCCTTTTTAAATGCCAGATCAATACTCCAAATGAACGACAAAGAAGTTAAGTAAATATGATCATGTATAGCATGTAGTTTTTGTGGAACCTATCCAATCTTAACGCGCATATGTTCCAATTCTTTGCGCTGCCGAGTACGAAAGAGTGAGTACAAATAATGACCATGCTTGCTTCCGGTCACAGGTCACAGCTACTCTCATGAAAGATGGGGTGATATGCTGGTGAATGAGATGACGGGCCTGTCCGGCCAGGCAGCGGTCCATAAATATGAGACAGTCACGTGCCGGTGTAGGAACCCAACCAGGATCTAGGAACTAGGAAGTCCCGTTCACTTTTTTCTAGTATATTACTTTTGTCAAGGATTGTGTCGGAGATGGAGACAATGCAACGTAGGGCGCACAGTAATTATAACTCTGGTTTTACACACGATTGAACATTCGTACCGCTTTATTTAAAATGCCATCGTTTTCGGATCATCTAAAATCGATGCCGTCAAACGTACACTTCGCTGTTACTATGCAGAGGAGCAACCATGAATTGTCATGCCACACTGCCAACGCCCCAGAACGCTTGACCGCACCAACTTCGGCCTTTAATCTAACTACCCAGCCAATTATCAGTGTCATTTAATGGAGCCATATCATTTCACAAATCCAACGGCTTCCCTGAATCACTAAAACCTTCAATGTTCCTGAAGAGATGTCATGAACACCCAGTCAGGCTGGAGAGCAAGACTCCGCCATGCTTTCCGAGAATCAGGGCTCTGCCAAAAAGCCTATCTATAAATAGCACCTAGATTCTTCCTACTCCACCGCTACCACGCTACGCTCAACTCGATCTGCCAGGAAGCAAGGGACGTAAGGAGCTTCTTCTTCCAAACCTCCCCCAGTAATCATTACAACGCCTGGTAACTAACATACATACATACATATATAGCCACCTGTTGCGATGCAGTGTCAAGGTGGATTAAAGATTTGGACTAAAATCAATTCCTCTAAATTTTTGTTGCCCTTTCAAGTTGACGAGGTGCCAGAATTCGACCGATGGTCAGTAAAAATAATATTACAACGTACCTAAATACCTAGTTTTTATTTTTCCAAGTCTCTTTTTTTCAGAGTCATGGTCAGCCAGGTTAGATGTAGTCATACACCGTATGATGAATGACAATTTTACTTTATTCATCCTTGGATTTCTGTCTAGGAAGAGAAACCAAAAACGATAACAATGCTAAGACAGAAGCAAAGCAACATGGAGAACATGCATGACTGATCGCAACTCTTGACATGCAGTGGTGGGACCTCACTTTAAATTCTGACTTCTCGCGAACTCCATCGTTCACCCACCTGACATTAATTAACTCGTTCTAACTTCTAGCTCGTCGCCTTACTTCGGGTTGAATCATATTGCATAAGCTCATGTATATCATGGCACATGAGCACTTGAAAAGCTAGCTTAACTTATTGAGTAGTGCTACTCGTGAATTGAGACATACCCATGGATGAGGCCATGGAAGCATACTTGGCGAGCTCCTGGGGAAGGAAAGGAGAGCCAGCTCCTCCTGCAGCGCTCATTCCAAGAAAATCTCTGGTGTAACCATGTTCCCCGGGGTTTGAATCAGGATGCAGCTTCAATGGCACTTGTTTATTAATTTGCCTTCCATGGGATTGCGACACAAGTTCATCAAGACCACTGTTCGATGAATGCGTCAATGAGCTGAAGTTATTGCTTACTCCCAACACGCCGACACCACTGCTGCTTGAACGAAAATTCTCTGATTGCTTCGTACTCTGATACATTTGGTTCAGCTCGTTGTTACGGTTTGGGTCGGCATTATTTTCGAGACTTGCCGTAGTCTGGGAAGAAGAAGAGCTCATGACTCCAAAACTGCCGCTAAAGATGGAGGAGTTGCTGCTTCTGGCTGAACCCATCTGAGCCGCTTTCTGTAGAAGTGCAGTGGCTGACATGGGAGAAGCTGGCTTTGATTGATTGTTTCGAGGGTCTGAATTATAAATGGGTACTAAGTTTGCGGTTCCACTGCTTTCTCCTTTTTTCCCAATAGGAAGTGAAGATGGGGAATAATTGGACAAAGAAGAGGGAGCAAAGGTATTATTGGGTTGAGGAATTTGCATGTTGATCTCGGGCAAACCTGAAGAACTTGAAGATGACACATAAAGGCCAGAATTAGGTCCAACATCTAGCGGATTATTGATGCGATGATTTCCCAGCTGGTTCAACCACAGTGACAAGCTTGGCCTCATCTGCTGGTCTGCACCACCCATACTCATGCCCATCCCATCAAATTCTGAGCGAAATCCATTTGCACCAAATTGAGAAATGCCAAATCCATGTGCCGAGCTAAGCTGAGAGTTAGAGTTCATCACGCTGTCTTCGTTTTTAAAATTTAAATCTGACGTGCCAACTGAGGTGAGCCTCGCACTCTCTTCTGTCAAGGCATCGCAGAAAGCTCGGTGGGTGATGAAACTATCCTTCCTGTTTTAAAAATTGGACGAATGCCTCATTAATTACCTAATCATTTACACTAATAAAAGAAGCAATAAATTCCCCCCAATAGAAGCATTTATGATGAGCAAAATGAGGCAAGGTGGGGAAATTAGTATACCTAGAGAAGAGGGTACCACAGTCGCACTTATATTCTCTAGTACCACAAGTTTTGGTGTGAGCTTTCCAATCGGACTGGACTGCGTATTTCTTCGAACACTTGTCGCACTTCCACTTCTTCTCCCCGTGTTTTCTGCTGAAATGCTTCTTTATCCCGGTGAGGTCCCCCAATGCTCTGGAGGGGTCATGGTGTACGCATGTCGTCTCTGGGCATATGTACACCTTCTTCCGAACCTCCTTGTTCGACCTCTGTCGCAGCTTCCATGGGAGGTTGTGTCCTCTTCGGTGAAGCTGCAGGTTTTGGTCTCTCTGGAACCCTTTGTTGCATATTTCACAGATGAATCGATTGGTAGCCATGAGAGACTTGGGTGAGAGAGCGATGACCTCCGCATCTGGATCTGTCACGTGACAGTATAAACACCCTTTAGCAAAAGATCAAGAGAGAAAATCAGCAAAGAAGTGATCGACTACGAACCTGGTGTTCCCGGTAGATTCCTCTTCTTCTTAGGGAGGGGAGGGGGGTTAAGTTTAGGGTTAGGGTTTGGGTTCGGTGCGGAAGCAAACCCGCCGATGGAAGAGGATAAGGAAAAGGGGTCGCCAGATAGCATTTGCATAGTGGAAATAAAAGGGGAAGGGTCAGGGAAGCAGAAGCGAACAGCAAACTTTCAACGGTATCAGACAGTACGAGCAAGAAAACAAAGGGGCTCCAGAAGCAAAAGCCAAATCAACATAAATTCTTTTGGATGCTACCCAAAACTATACTACAAGACCTGGCTGACTTCGATTCTGCCAAACTCAAGAAAAGGCCATGGCCGAAACTAGATCCTGAACCTAATTACCAAAATATATAAAAATATATATATTGAACCTCGAAAGAAACTATATAGTAATGCAAAGAGCTTCGGACTCTTTCTCGCAGCTCATCTGGTTCCTGGTTTGTTTGATTTCGAATGTATCGGCGTAAAACCAAAACCACTCGAATAGGATGGCTGGCTATATAGATAAAGATAATATTGGAGCCTTTTTTTTTTTCTTTCCTGACCTTCTCTCTCTCTCTCTCTCCCCCCACTAGCACTGGTAGCTCTTGCAGTGTGTTTGGTGGTAGACGAGGAGCGACTCTGATCTCAAGCTCATCATCTTATTTACTGCCATCCTCGATCACGGTCAGCCATAGATTGTGATGGGCCACCACAAGCACAAAGACACACGAATACGGACACAAGTCACACCCACAATATTCGTCGAATTGTGTGTGACCCGCTGCCTCTCGCCTAGTGAACCAGAATGTTTATTAATTGCTAGAGGGAATTGTGTTTTGTGGACACGAACTCCAAACTGTTTGCTTAAAAAGCCGAAACTTTAATAGAGTACTAGCAGTACATAAAATAAGTTACGTAAATCTTTACACTAAGTATTAGGCTCGGGGATAAATGAACATAATTAAATAAGTTATTATTCTATTAAGAGCTTGGAAGTACAAGTGTGATGGGGTAAAGTGAAGAGAAAAGTAAGTTACCTTTCTGAGAGGGTAGAATGATTAAGGCATAATTAGAGGGAAGAGGGCTTTTTCAGGAGGCATGCGATGAGGTAAGAGCAGGGGAGGTCAGAGGGTGTGCGTGTGGGGTCGTAGTCCTAGTGGGGCTTAAGGGTCTCTTTTCCCGATGCGATCGACGGTGGGGAGATAGGACCGTGGTCCGTGATACCTCTGTCCCTCTCTGTGTCATCGTCTGGGACCCACCCACACAAATTACACTGTGCTCTGTGGGCCCCCCGCCCTCCGTCCCTCCTCCCAAAAAGTGCAACCGATTACTTCCCCGTCGCAATGTTGTCCTCATTGGGTCCTTCCATTGCCACTGCTCTCTTGCATTCCCAGTCCATGAAACGTCCCTCCCATGTTTTCTTCTCCTCCCTCGTATGTCTCCTTCATGTTCCTGTTACTTCTTACTATTATAGCTCCTCCTACAAACTTGTTGCACCATTCATCTTCGCTATTTATCTTTTTGCATCACTACTTTTTCTTAAGAAAAGGTATCCATCTTTTCATTTTGCACCTTCCTTTTCTTCCCAAAAAAAAAACCCAAAAAAACTAAAAAGGCGTCTCTCTAGGGACAACTTGTGATTCACGCGGTATTTTTTTTCTTAGGAAAAGACTGTGTTAGCGGTTTCATGGGTGGTTAGTTAACTATGGTTGGGAAATAATATCAATTTCAGGTTTATTCAATGATTTTCGCGTATAATTTGGTCTTTGGCGCGCGGATGATGGCGGAGAAAGACTCGAATCTTGAAAGGTCATTATCTTCTATAAGGAAATAGAGAGGTTGATTTTTATTTGTCGATAATCTCTTCTAGATTGGTAGAAAATAGTTATTCATACTTTTCTCTAATTCAAAATATAAGCATTTTTTAGTTAACTTTAATTTAAAATATAAACAACTTAATATATGTAAAAAATATATTTATTATTTTACAACTTATATTTATTAACTTAGATATTTGTGTAAGTGTATTTCTCACTTATTATAAAATGTTTTGGTAATTTAAACTGAAAATAATAATAATAAATAATAAATATTTTTATAGGAATGAAAATTTTATTAGTGTATATGAATATTTTTTTAACCGGAGGGAGTACTATTTAGTGACGCATGACACCTGTTTTAGCACGCACAGTCAAGCATTCAACTTTCTTACGCCTTTTTTTATTGAATCATTATATTTTCGAGCCCGCAATTAAAAAACAATAAAAAAAAAGAAAAAGGATTAGATTAGATTGGATCGGAAGACTACTTGACTGACATAAAACAGGGCTCACACGGTCCCATGGTCGAATGGCTCGACGGATCAATGACTTTTATGGTCATTATTGGAGTTAACACAGTTTGAGACATATCTACAAATAGATACATGCATATGCATCACCCAAACAACAGGCAAGGTGATTCATCATCTCCCAGATTCTGTATTGATCGATCAGGTGATGATTTGATGTTATCGATCAAGGGAGCTGTATCTCTTAGCAAAACTGATGGAGGTGGTCTACGTAATTTAGGAGTTACATAGAGTAGTCCCATAGTTGCAACCATGCAATCCCACGCGATTGAAGACATTACTTTAGCTCTTGAAAGCTCATAAATTCTGATTCCTCGTAATAGCTCTATCAGGTCAATTTCCTAGCTACTATAAGTTTCAAACTACTCTTGCCTTCGTAGGTAAGATGCAAGAACTACGCGATTTGCCTTTTTCTCACCACTAGCTACTACGTCTAACCCCTAACACGTCGCTATACAAATCGGAAAAACAAACTATCTACACAGGGCACTGACCATCGAGCTGTCTCAAACGATGTTCTTAAATCGATTGTTTTGAGGCCAAGCACGCATCTCAATTTACTCCCCAATTCCACCCAGCTAGCTTTTAGGCTTTTGTGGGTATATCTATAAAAGCTTTTACCGTGTTAATCACGCACCACTGTTTACCATTTCTTATTTCGATAAAACCGCTACGAATGATCTAGTAAGGAAATTATAAATGTGCAAGCTAAGTGAGTAATTCAGTATTAAATTTAAGGACTTTGATGGAAACAGCTTGGAAGGGCGCAACGCTCTAGACATTATATACACGAAGAGATTTGGGGCCTCGACTACTGCTATACTATAGGCAGCGCGGATCGATCGAATCATGGATGTTAGGTGAACTTTAACAATCAAACCATTAAATAATTAGAGGAGTACAGAGGCAACCTGTTTTTGACTATATTGTTTTTGAGGAATTGAGAGAGCAACGCCGAGGAGCAAATATATATATATGTGTGTGTGTGTGTGACATTATAGTATGATGGAAACAAACGAAAAAAAACGTAAATTAGAGAGAATCTGTAATAATTGTGTCAGTGCTGTTATATTATATATATCGGACAATTCAACCGCTTTTGGCTTCTTGCGTTCGGGCCATGGCATCCTATGTGGCTGTGTCCTTTCCCTCATCACCCGAAAGCCTACACACCCAAAATATCCCATGTGCTTGTTGTAGTATCAGATAAAAAAAATAAAATTCTTAGCTTGATTTTACAGATAAGCACTCGGAAGGGAATAATAAACCGAACAGTTATCGACATAATTAATAGGATACATATATATGTGTCCGACCAGATAAGGACATCCCTCGCATCCATGAATACTGTATAGAGAACCCCCACCATATACTTGTTTATATTTGCAGACCTCTTTCCAATATTTGCTTGGTCCTCCTCTGGAAAATTTCACGCACATCCACGATTTCGTAAACCCCGTACCACATTTTCAAATGTGTCTGTCAAATTAATTATTATTTATATTGGGCTCTCACCACGATTTCGTAAACTACCTATAGCTATACGGTTAAAGGGGGAAAAAAAAAGTCAATTCAGAAATCACGTTCGCCTTTTTAATAATATGGTAAATAATATTGAAATATGTAAGTAGTTTACTCTTATCATCAAAACTATATAAAAAACCTTGTGTGAAATAATAATGCAATCAAGGTGTGATCTGGTCGTCAAAAATGGTTTTTGTTTTTTGCACAAACAGTTTCGACGACTGGTGCATATCAATGTTTTGAGTCTTTAGAGTTTGAGACATTATTAATTCCTCAATCAAATTGAAATGGGGGGAGAAGGGGGGTGGGGAGACCAGGTAAGTGGAACCCAATCTTCTATGGGGTGTGTGTGTGTGTAAAGTTGAACCCAATCTTGCCGTTCTGAGTTATTCTTCTCTGCCATTTAAATTAATTAAGTTGTCATGAAGCTGCCTGGTCAGTGATTAATATATATATCATTTTTGTAATTCCGATACAACATATATGTCTGATCGATCTGGATGCATTATGTAAGTCAGGATACTGTATATATCTAATGTGTTGAAGAAATGAATCCTATGCATATTTCAATAGATTAGCCTGTCTCGTATGGCTGTGTGTCAGAATGCCACATAAGATTCTTACGTTAAAATATGAATTCTTACCGATTCCACGATTCCAATCGCTTTCTTTTTTTCCCTTGTTGTTGGGGAAGGCAAAGATATCTTCAAGAGAATCAAACTTCGAATCTAGTATTTCTCGACCTAAGAAGATGGACATCGTTTTTAATTGTTGCAAAATTATATTTATGTAATTTGCCGAGAGCATCTTCTTCTTCTTCTTCTTAAGATATATTTGCAACGCAAAAATTAAGAAACTAGCTATGAGAGTAAAAATACTATTTCATATATGTAATTATTTTCACATACATGTGCATATGCTAGTTGTATATCATTCACAAATCATAGACTGTATATAGAAAGAGGTCTAATTAATAAACTTTCCCTTAATGCGATGTTTTTAATCTGCTTTATTTCAAAATATCTTCAATTGGGTAAGCTTACTATATGTTACATGAAATTTAAAATAAAATGTAAGGGTGTGGTTGAGGCGGTAAGGATAGGCCTGGGCAGGGGTAGAAATTAAGAATTTAAAATTATTCTTATGTATTAAATGAGCAGGAAGACCAGCATGTTCAAATTGCAAATCCCTAGTCATCAGATTTCTACAAGTTGAAGGAGGATCTGCTAGAGCTACAAACTTATCAAGATTTTATGCCTAGCTTTACGATGACGTTGAATGACGATTTTTCTAAAACAAGAAGTGACAATGATACAGGCAAGTGGGGATGCTCCTATCTGAGGAATTGAAAAGGAATTATTATTATTTTTTGTAATAAAAGGAATTGTTATTACTCTCACAGGTGGTTCCTTAACAAACTGGCCCACAGTTTTCTAATCATCCTTATGGGCTACCCGGCCCGTTCTCCCTTGTCTCAGCTTGTGTTTTTGTTGCCCTCTCATTGTCCCTTTAATTGTCCCATCAAGAAAAATTAAATGAAATTTTCATTTAAAAAAAGAAGCTTTTGCACACATAGCCCATATCATAAGATCAAGTGAAAAAAAAGCTTATTCTTTTTTAAATTTCAAAAATGACCTTTTTAATATTTAATTTATAATTAATTTATAAAAATGCCCTTTTAATATCTACTTTTTGCAAGTACCAAAAGATTCAAAACGCAAGAAATCTCTAAAACGAGAGAGGTGAATGCGAGAGAGAAGATGG